GAAACAGTGTCACCACTAATGGCTAGCACAGATTTACACAAAACCAGACCAAACGGACTGCCTTTTCTGAAAGGGTCACTTGCCCGACACATTTAGGGAACTCTGCAGACATCAAGATTCAAGGAATGTTTCCAGGGGTTTGTCGCATCATTCTGTCTGGGGACTGGACTTATCCATTAAAACATTTTTTTTTTTAAAGATTTTATTTATTTGACAGAGAGAGGGAGCTCACAAGTAGGCAGAGAGGCAGGCAGAGAAGAGAGAGGGAAGCAGGCTCCCCGATGAGCAGCGAGCCCGATGTGGGGCTCGATCCCAGAACCCTGAGATCATGACCTGAGCCGAAGGCAGAGGCTTAACCCACTGAGCCACCCAGGCGCCCCCCATTAAAACATTTTTAATTGATATGTAAATCATACAACAGAATCTACCCTCTTAAATGACATAATTCAGGATTTTTAGTTTATTTACCAAGTTGCATATCCATCACCCCTAATTCCAGATGTCGTGTTCATTTTTATCAGTGACCCAGATGATGTCACAGAGAGCTTACAAAATCAAATCTGATGGCTGACACTCTGCCCCTAGGGAAAGAGCCTGGCACCCAGGGAGGGTTTGGGCACCTGCTGCCAGAGGAAGGGAAGGAGGGATGAGATTCTTAATTGGTTCTACAATTAGAGAGCACCGAGCCACAGTCATGTTCATTCATAGGACAGAGGCAGCAAGAGTGGCCGGAGGCTCCAATCATCCTGCAGTGTCCAGGATGTGGTCCGATCGCACCACCTGGGGACCTAGGGAGCGGGTGGTGTGCAGAAGTGTGGGGACAGCTCGCTCTCCTGCTCCTCACCCAGCAGGGCCTTCTGACACTTAGCTGGATGACCACAGCATTCTTTCCTTCTTCCAAATCTGCTTTGCACATGCAGCCAATGAACCGTTCTGAGACCTCACTTAATGAAACAGATTAATCTGGAGAACGGCTCTCCTGTGTCCCCAGCTGCGAGGGCAGTGTGGGATGGAACGGTAGTGCCTATGTTCGCTGCCCTGCTCTGTTAGGCGGCTGGGCTCCAGAGGGTTGACAGGGGCTTGTATCACCCTGGGCCGGGGCCCATTAGGAATCAGGAACTCTGGCTTTTCCCTTCCACTTAGTTCAGCTGGGGTGGTGGCAGTATCGAGTTCTACCCTTCTAGGGCTGTGCCTAGGGAGATTTGGGGGGTGACTTCTGGGGGATGGTAGGAATCCCTGGTTCCCGCACCTATCCAGCTATGGCAACTTTCACGCTCCTCCCAACCCCCTTCCAAATCCTCTCTCATGGTTAGTACAAAGCCCACCTCCTCCAGGAAGCCTTCCTCAGCCATCCCCTGCTGGCTCCTTTCTCTGAACGCTCAGATGCTGCACAGTCACACACCACGTTCTGGTGGCTTCAGGAGCCAGAGAGGTTGTGCAAGCTACACCTCTGGCCCCAGAGAGCAGGGACCAAGCCTGGCACTTCCCTGCTCTGCTCCAGAGCTCAGAATGTAGTACGGAGCACCACTCCATCAATCCCAGGAGGAGAGTTAAGTACTGCTCCCACTGGGGTGTTTGTTGTAAGGGACCACCCAGTCTCCCTTTCAGGAATTGTGCACTCCTCCCCGCACCAGCTGCTGCACGTGCTGGGGCAGACACCCCCCCAGCTCTCAGCCCCTGTGGAAACTGCCTTGGGTGATGACAGTTGCTGGTATAAGACTGTGGCAGTGGGGATATAAAGACCTGCTCCTTCACTCCATCACGGGACAGCTCTGAAGTCACCTCCCTGTAGGGTCAGAACTCCCCGGCCAGACTGCCCTGTAGCCCAGCTTATCCCTCTGCCCTACCCTGCTCCTTTCCCTTCCCGTCTACAGCTATTGCTCCAAAGGATGTGCCTCAGTAAGGGCCCTGCCCGCTCCTCTCCAACCCAGAGTCAGCTTCCCAGGGAACACAGACACTGCCGGCCGTTCGTTGCATCAGTTTGCTCGCTCTGCAAAATGGAACGGGGTGGGAAGGGGTGGAGAGAATGTCTCGGCCCAGCGGGGGAGCACTCACTCAAGGTCAACACAGGCAGTGGGTCAGCAGCATGGCCATGACTCTGCCCTCTGGGAGCCCCCTCCTCTGCACCTGCTGGGTGGGTAGATTGGGGCGGGAGGGGAACCTCCGTAGGGCCCCCTCTAGCCGGCAGGGCTCCGGGGACAGAGCACCCGAGGCCGCTGCTCTCTGAGGAGTACCTGAAATACTCAGTTAGTACTTTGCTATCACGAAATGCATCGTTTTGCCTGAAATCAGCAAATATCTTTGAGTCATTTCCCAAAAGAAAGAAGTGGTTACTAGTTGTTTAAAAGTTTTCAGAACCTTTTTCAGGACAACGACCTAGGAACTGTTCAGGAGCTTAAACTTTTTCTGCAAAACAAGGAGAAGACATTCACAGTTCAACTTTAATCACAGGGCCCCTGGGAGCAGCCCCTGGAGTGTGGGAGCAGAGGGGCCCTCCTGTCTTGTCTGCCTGGGTGGTGGACCCTGGAGGGAATGCAGGGCAAAGCTCCCTGGGATCCTAAGTGAGATCACAGGGGACAGCCCAGCCCCTCTGCAGCCATCTCCTCACCCCTCACCTTTCGATGCTTTCTGTGTACCTTGGACTCAAGAACGGGCCGGCGCTAAGCCCGTTTCTAGGGGCCTTAGAAGGATTTGATTGTTCAAGCCTCCCACTTCATAGACCCACTTTACAGAAGAGGAAATAGGGGCATGCAGCAAGTTGCCCAGGTCACAGAGTTAGTGAATGGGGGAGGCCGAATTCATATCCAGGGTCTAATTCCAGGGCATGCGTCTCTGACTTCAACAATCGGAACGAAAAGCAGCAAGGGCACACCCAGCCTGGCCTCCCGCCGGAGCAGGGATATGAAGCAGACTTCCTGCTCCAGGCTACAAGGCACCACACAGGCCAGCTTCAGCGACCAAGACGTTTCTTCCCCGAGCCCATCTTGGGTCTAGCTGAACACCATCTTCTTCCATTACCAGCTAGCTGCCCCTGGTTTGGGTCCCTCTGAATGCGACGCAGCTGCTCTTAGCCTCCGTGTAAATCTTTCATGAGTTTATTGGCGTGACCGTTCTTTCCCTGCAGCCTCCTCTTCCCTGGCCCCGTCCCGTTAGCCTCTCCTCCCGGGACATACTTTCCATCCCTTTAATCATCTTTATTGCCTCGCTTTGGACCCTGTCCCGGGTCCACATCCTCTGCGAGGTGCGCTGACCTAACCGGGCATTTGTTAACACGAGCGTGGCCCGGCGGAAGGTCAGCTTCCCCGTGCGTGCGTGTCACACCGCTCTTCCTATATTTCTGGGGCAGAGGCTGCTTTCCGGAGGCCCACCACTGTCCGGGGGTGGCGGGGGGTGGTCCCGTTTAGACAGGAGGCCAGGTCCATGAGCCAAGGTGTAGCTGACCTGGAGAGCAGCAGCCTGCCGCTGCTTCTGGGTCAGGGGGTGACTGACTGTACATTCAAAGCTCGGGGACTCCCTGTACCTCCAGACACAGACTCAGGACCGGGGTAGGGGGCAGGGGAGGAGGGACACCCAGCCTCTGCTCTCCCTCTTCCCCAGTCGCCCGAGAGCCCCATTCCCCTTTTAGAGATGTGCTCCCTACTTCTTCCCTCCTCTAGGAGCCCAGAAATGAGGCATTAGCCTCGGCAAAGCAGCACAGCACTGAGGCGGTCCACACAGCAATCATTCTGGTCAAGCCTGGCCCAGGGCTTGGTCCAGTGCTCCTGGCTCAGTTTCCCCTTTCCCTGCTGCTCCATAACATGCCTAGTGGTTCTGATTCCTAAGCCAGGATGGCCTTCCTCCTAGTTAGTGGTGTGGTTCCTGTCTCCTGGGAGCGCCTCTCACCCGCTAAGTCCACCAGCTGATGACAAGGAGTCCTGGGGACCTGTCCTCCAGGCGGCCTGAGCTGTGGCCAGCACCCAACGTGCCTTCTTCAGGGCCCCTGTGTGGAGGGGAGGCCCAGGGACCCTAGTCAGCCACAGCCCTCATTTCAAGGGGGCAGGCACCTCCACTTTGCAAGGAAGGGATGTCACCTAGACTGTTACCTTGGTTCTCTAAGAATATTCTGTTCGTTAAAGGTAAAACCATAGGCCATCCCTTTGATCCAAGAAGAGATTCCCTATAGAGGCACACGTCTCATTTTAATTCCCTGGGCAGAAGCCTTTTTTCTCTTTCCTGCTCTTTCCCTTCCTTCCTTTTTTAAAAATGTTTCCAACCAGAAGTAATTGATGCATATCCAAACAGAAAATACACTCTAACCCTGCTTTACTATGAATGTCCACAGACTACAAACGTCGCTCTGTACCTGGTGTTTTCCACTTGAAATCTACCACGAAGACTTTTCCATGCAAGAAAGTCCCCCCGGGAACAAAGGCAGGTCTTCCTGGGACTCCAAGCCCCAACTGCCTCGGGGCACTTTTTCCAGCCCCTTGCTATTACCCAGCACGCCGAACCATGGGGAGACCCTGGGTTCTGCCCAGGTTTAAGTGAGCTCCTCCAGGCACTGGAGAGCAGGTGCGTGCGTGGCTGCTGATCTGCGGGTCACCTGTTACCACAGAGCTGAGCACAGCCAGCGACGACCTGCAGTGACTAGGGAAGAGCAGGAGACACAGATACCCTTGGAATCGTGAGCTTCGGAGCCTCCTGGAGGCCGTGTCTCAAAACACACGTCAGCTGGGACCAAGTCCCTTGAGGACTGCTGTCCTTGCTGCAAATGGAAAGAGCCTTTCTCTTCCTGAGCTGTGGAACCAGCACCCTGTCCCTGGCCTCCTGGAGGGATCTGTTTCCTGGGCCAGCCCCGAGAAGTGGGGCTCCCGCTTCCCAACTGGTACCTGACCCCATCGCTTCATCTCATGGGTATCAGCAGGTCCCCGGGAAAAGCAAGACCCAGGTCAGAACCAACGGAGCTAGAGACAGCCGGCCAAGGACAGAAAACCCAAAGCTCTCGACGGAGTCTCTCCTACCTCCGGTCATTTCTCCTCCGTCGGAACAACTTCTTCGTGTGGGCGATCTCCACTTCGTGGGGCATCGGGTGGTAACCCTGTGTGGTGTGGGAAGAAGGGGGATGGTGAGTAACTTGTGAAAGAGAGCAAAGACCTTCTTAAATGTAACTATGAATGATAACGTCATCAAGGAAATCAGGAGTTTGGAAAGACTAGACTCTCACCGCCAAATCCAGACTGAAAAATGGAAACTGTGTTAGTCAATTTCCCACCAGGCAATGATGCTGGAATTACAGGACTGAAGAACAGTAGGGACACAAAGGGGACCTCAGAATGTGTTATATCCAGTCACGCAAATTCCAGATCACAACGCTCAGGGCCAGAGGGATGAATGAACCCGCTCAAAGTCTTGCGGAGAATTAGCGACGTTGTTGGGGCCAGATCCCGGATTCATGGCCGCATGACCAAGGACAAGTTACTCTTTGAATGCTCATGACTTCTCTATGTTTCCTGACACACTGGGGATGTCAGGATCTTCTCTGGGCTGTCGAGGGGACCAAGGAGATGCAGCGCCTTGCAAACCCTGAGTGTCATGGAGATGCAGTGTGCTAGGACCCCGGCTGCCTCACCCTGGTCCAGGATGGCCCGTCCAAATCCGCCCCAAGACCCTTATTCCTCATACTCCTGGGGAGTGTTTAGGAGAAACAAGAAATACTTCAATACATCCCTCTTAAACTTTAAACTGGGGAAAATCCCAAGAATGGTCTTTTGTACATTGTCATCGGTACAACAGCTACACACCTACGTCAAGGTGAGAGATGGACCCTCTGCTTATAACAGGGGGCTGATTCTGCCGATGCCAGGCCCCAGGCAGAATGATCTGTAGAAGCTGGGCTGATGGTCAGCTCTGTTCTTAACCATCGCCCTCCCCCCAGCAGGAAAGTGTGTTATGGTGGGACATGGGTGCGAGCACTGGCATCACATTATGGGCAACCTGTAGGGGTCGGGGTGGGCAGGGGGGTGGTGGAGGGGACCTGGGCCTGGAGGGTTGGGGGGAGGGGGTAGGCTGACTTGGGCCTGGGATACCTGTGTACAGGTCTGATGCAGACTACACCCGGAGTGTCACCCCCCATGTGGCCCACGAGGCCCTTCACATGCACAGGGTGAGAGGGAGTGACAGGGCCCAGTGTGCTGCAGAGCGGTCAGTGAGCGTTCCTTTAGCCCAACCATCCATACTTTATAGATGGGTAGACTGAGGCCCAGATCCTCTATGGTACCAGCCCTCTAGTTTCAGGCTCCACCATGGAGGGTCCCATCAGGCTGCCTTCTCAGGGCATGGCCAGCAACCAAGGTGGGCTGGATGTTGACAGCTCTGGCCAGTCTCAAGGAGCTTCCCAGGGTGGGGCAGTAGGAGGACAACAGGCAACAGGCTCAGGAGGACAGGGGACTCTAGCATTATGCATGCATCATGGCCTAACCTCCTACGGAGTCCAGGGAGGGAATGCACATTTCAACATTCATTGTCATAACACCCCCTGCCTCCTACCCTGTCCCTTGCCTCCAATAATCTGGCTGAAAAGTCATGAATGAACTCTGGGCTCCAGACAGCCACAATGGGCCTCTGCAGCCTTAGGATGTGCTTTGTTTAATGGTTTTCTCAAAGGATATTATTTGCTTTTCTTTAATACAAAACACAAACAAGGAAAAACACCACGTCTTCCCCTCTCATTTCCCCTCTCCCATCCTGACCCAGCTCTGGGCTGGCCCCTTCCCTCCCTCCGGGCCTCGGGTCACCGCAGGAACACACTGGGTGTGCCCCACGCAGACAATGGAAGGAAGCTGAGGCTCCCTTTCAAGCTGGCGGTCTGGACTGGGACCTCACCTCGGGGAGGGCAGACGGAGCTGTCCGCAGCCCTGGGCCTTCCACGAGCCTGGGATATGCGGCCGCCCTTGTCTGAGCTTCAGAGTCCGGGGCTCTGCCCTGCACCCTGTCCTCATCTTCCACGCACCATAGCAGGAGGCAGCTGCCCTCGGGACTCCAATGCAGTTGCAGTCCTAGCTCTCCCCGAACTCAGTGTGGCCCAGGGGACCTGCCGGCCACTCAGGGCTTCTAATGAAGTGTCCATCCATCTATCTTCCCTCTCAAATCAATATATATGTGTGCACGTGTAGACGAGGTCACAGTAGTCCAAGCATGGGCTCTGCAGCTGTACGGGGAGCAGCCAGCTCCTGGCTCTCCCTTTCGATGATGGTGCGACTTCGATAGCTAATCTCCCCTCGACAGCTCTCGGTTTGCACATCTGTCGTAAGAGCATCAGCCTCCTCGGGTCCCAGTGAGGGTTAGCTGAGCTGATGAGGGTAAAAATAACGTAGCCTAGGGCCTGGTACGGAGCAAGCCTCCGTAGGTCTCTCCGGGGGTTTCTCCGCCTCCCTCACTTTCATTATCTTCCCCATCATCCTGACACTCAGCTCGGGGCCGGGTGGGCCCAAACCAGCCAGGCTGCACTGGTCCCTCTCCTCGTGGCGCCCCCAGTCCTGGCACAGAGACTGAGGTGGTTTGCCGGACGATGGGGGAGCTCAGGTTAGGGAAGGCAGAGGGATGAGCAGAGAGCTGGTGACCCAGCTGCGGATTGGGAAAGGAAGGCAGAAGTTCGGCCTGCGCCTTCTTTGGCCCGAGGCTGGCAGACCTCACGGGGAGGCCAGAAATCAACTAAAGAAGTGACAAAGGACAAAGTCTTGCACTTCTGAGACCCTCCCTCCCCAGGAGCAATCCAGGCTGGGGTGCTGGAGGACAGGTCCCACCCTCAAGACCACTTGGAGCCGCAGGCTGTAGGCATCTGGGTGAACGAATGAGTAAGTGCATTGCACACGACTTTCAGGGGCTCCTGCAGGAGACGGGGCGCACGATTCACACTGGCTTCCCTGGAGGGCCTTCTGCAATCAGCCACTCTGCCTCTCAGACGGGTGGTCGACACCAAGGGACACATACAACTCAGGATACTGCCCGCGCTCCTTCTAAGACGAGGGTGACATGGTGTCAACAGGGGCAAAGACGAGGCCAGCCGATGAAGAAAGAGGAAATCTGTGCTCAGCCACACCCCTGCCATCAGCCTAGCTGCCTGCTGATCTGGGCTGGCAGAAGTTCTTTACTCTGCACGCGAATGTTCACGTCAACATCATTCACTCACAACAGCCGTGACTGGAAACACCCCGAGGGTCCGCTAACCGACGGCTGGATAAGCAAAATGTCGTATGTCCATACAATGGAATATTATATGGCTATGGAAGGAGTTCCTTTTTTTTTTTTTTTTAAGATTTATTTATTTATTTGAGAAAGAGAGAGAGAGAGAGATTGAGAGAGACTGGTGGGAAACGGAGAGAGAGAATCCTCAAGCAGAGACCTGCTGAGCATAGAGCCCGATGTGGGGTTTGATCCCATGACCCTGAGATCACAACCTGAGCTGAAACCAAGAGTCGGCCGCTTAACCAGTGGAGTCACCAGGTATCCCTAAAAGGAAGGAAGTTCTGATACATGTGATGATGTGGGTGAACCTTAGAATCATTGCGCTCCGGCAAAGAAGCTAGTCACTGAAGACTACGCACTGTACAATCTCATCTTTACAAAATGTCCAGAATAGGCACATCTGCAGACAGAAAGCAGATGAGTGGTGGGCAGGGGCTGGGGAGAGGGAGGAAGTCGGGGGGTGACTGATAATGAGTACTGGGTTTCTTTTTGGGTGAGGGAAATATTCTGGAATTAGATGGTTGCACGACTTTGTGAATATACTAAAAAACAACTAACCATATACCTTCAAAGGGTGAGTTTCATGGTAACGTGAATCACGTCTCAATTTAAAAAGGTGGGAAGAAAATCTGGGGGCAGTATATGGGTAGAGGGGACCCCAAGTGTTAAAAGAAAGAAGAAAGAAGATCCAGCCTCAATGGAAAGTGTTCCTTTCTCACTCAATCACTCTCCAGGAAGCAGCAGCCTTAAAACATTTTACATAAGCCAGGGTGGCAAACGGCAGCACATCCTAGGCAAGAGGCACCCAACGACCAGTGTGACTAATGAGAATCCGGAAAGGAGCGTGCACTGGTATCTCCAGGCCTGGCCAGGGGAGATGGGGCTTTGGCTTTACACCAGAGATCCCTCCCTGCTTTTTAGAATCTATCCCTCGAGTGGAGAATGAGAAATTTATCAGCCTTGTTGGGATTACCCTCTAAGAGCAGAGAGTGGCCTTCACTGTAATTCTTTGCTTAACAAATTCTTCCACTCCATGCTTTGAAAGAGGCCCCTACGGATGTCAGTCCAGGTAACGTCGGTCCAGGTGGGAGGGCGCCCCCAACTCCATAAATGAGGGCACCGGCCTCCTGGTTTACCAGCTGCCTGGCCGGTCTCCTCAGTCTTCCGTCACGTAGCACTATGCTGGACCACCCCCCGCGATGCCTGGTCTTCATCCACTTCTCTGCTCAGAACCCTTCTTCCCGCCCCTCTGAGACGTGGCTGCAGCCTACCCCCCCGCCAACCTCTGACCACTTTTGCTCACTAAATGGGCCTGGGAGACAAGTAGATTATATAAACCAACCTCTCCAGGGACAGAGGGAAGGTAATACTCCTTCCGCATGCTGCACTGGCTGAATACACGTGCAACACACACACATACACACACACACACACACACACCCGACTCGGGGGTCAGCAACGTTAAGACGCAGCTCTGCGGGCCAGTCCCTGATGGCTCTAGTTGCAGAAACACATTATGTGAAGTCCACCCATCCCAGGTCAGGCTGAGGCGGGTCCTCACAACCCTGGGGCAGTATTTCTACGGCAGTAAAGGCAAGCCCAGCAGAGCGGCAGGCCCCACACTGGGAGCGCAAGGGCCTTGTCCCTGGAGGGAGAGTGCCGTGAGCGAGGGCCAACGAGCTCACCGAGCAAGGAGCCTGCACAGAGATGGCTCTGCTCTGGCAGCTCTGCGACCCACTGACTCTGTGATCACAGTGACACGTTCCCGCTAGGCTCCCCACTCCCACCCCCCCACAACCCACCCGCTCTTCCATTCACCTTGGCCTATAAAAATGGCCATTTTAGGCACCGCAC